GGGATCATATTGGGGGATATGGGCTATTGCACAAAAATCATATTGTATCGAAATTGATCTAGAGTCATAGATTTCAGATTAATTTTATAGCAAATGATAATAAAATAATATAAAATAAATCTTTTTTACAGGCATCATGTTTTTATTTTGAAAAAATAAAGAAATAAAATTTTACAACTTGTTACTCTTTTGATTTTGAACAAAATTGAGAAAATATGCATCAGGTTGGTTTTTCTACGAGCGGTGAAAACGTATTTATCTTGTTCGTTGGTAAATGGATATGAATTCTCTGTATTTCGCCCTGTTTTTTTTTCTGTAAAATGAGCAAATTACCTAAAATTGAAGTGTTTCGATTGAAGACACTCTGATGTTTAAGTCAATAAGGGTATGAAATAAATGTCTATGCACTTTGACTGGTAGTTTCAAACTTCCAGTTCTTCTGGATTGCTAACGTGGTTCGATGATGCTGATAGAAAGAACCACAGGAAATTCATCCAACTTCGATCCTCTAAAGGCAAGTGCGTAAGTTATAGAATCCCAAATAGAGCGTCTTCTACTCTAAACAACTACTGTGTTTATTTGGTCTATCAACTACTCGGCCAGCTACTGAGCGTACCTTTTACTGTGCACCTTTGGTCATTTTTATAGTGTCACCCTTCTTGTTAGGGTTTCCATTATTGATGATATAAGGTGACACACCTCCTATCAATTTGGGATACTTGTTAGGAATTGTTGAAATCTCCCCGAATGCTCCTCTTGTTACCTAGTTCTTCATGGGCTGATGATAGTACTTGTTTGTTATATCTAAATCTCTTGATTGTAGGCACTATTTCATGACTCAATTTAAGGTTGCTCCAAGTAGAGCTTGGCCTTATTGAAACCAAACTGTTACTCCTACTATCGAGCTCTCTATGATTCGGTTTGACTTCATGAACCCAGTCTTCACTATTCAATTTGGCTTCTATTTTATTGTTTCCCCCACGTGATCTATCCCATCATGCTCATGTGAGTCCATTAATTGTCTCTTACACATGGCACAATTTTAAGCCCCTTCAATTTTGTATGTTAATTTGGTTTTATAAGTAAAGTCATGTTAGGTTGGTGTGTAGGTAAAATCTGGATCTAGATCTTCTCTATTATTTTTTGTTCACACAATGGTAAATCACCCATAGTTTATGGGTGAGGAATCCATATATAAATAATGTGTCCCATATGAAGGCATAGTTGGTGATCTACTATTGAGTAAACTCGTATGAAAAAATAATGAAGAGAATCTCAATCCGTAAAATTTGACAAAAATATTGTTAAAAAAATTTAAATTACACGCACACTCTTTGAAACTATTAGAAATTAGAGATGGTGGATTAGTTCATCCTAGAAAGTGAGAAATGCTCATACCTACGCCATGTACGAAACCTCTTTTGTCAAAGCATGAATTTGACAACCTGTTTGAACGAATCAACCATGCAATTTACAAACAGTTGTCCATTTTTCTTTTTTTTTTCAATATCCTTGTTTTGATTTGTTCTCAAAAGTGTTTTAGAGTGTGTTTGAATTGACTTAAAAAAAATATTTTTTGAACTTTTAATTTATTATAAGTGCTTTCATAAAAAAAAAATAGTGTTTGGATTAACTTATGAAAAGTACTTTTAAAAAAGTAAAAACCATTTTACCACTTAAATAAGTCCAAAAATAAAAGTTAAAAAATACAACTTTTACTTATTCAAAATCACTTTAGCCTAACCACTTTTACCTCATTTTTTTTTCTCCCAACCCGTCGACTCTCTCTCCCAATAACTCATCTCCTCCCATGGGTCTATCAACAGCCCTTCTTCCATTTTGGTGACCGACTACAAGGACGATGCCGGAGAGGTAAGCGATCACCGGCGATATCTCGACCACTTCCTTCTTTCTCCATTCAATTTCTGCCTCGCGCTAGCCTTGTGTATCAGAGGATTCAAATTCAAGTCTGATCAATGTGAGTTTGTTCTTGTGATTATTCTTATTTGTGACAACTCTATTTCAGATTCAACTATGTTTCTTTAGGTGATCTTTACTTCACTTGAACCTTATGATTGCTTGCTTTTCACTGGGATATTGGGGTATGCGGTATGCCCTTAGATTGAGTTGAATGGTCTAGGCTACATAGTTGGATTTGATGCTTAGATGTATTAGCTTAGTTCTTGTTTATGCACTCGGTCTTCCCTAATTCTATGGACAGATATGTAACATCTTTCATGTCTGTTACCTGTTTGTTAATATACCTAAACGAACTTCATAACAAAAGCTTTTGATTCTGACGAAACCGTTTGCTTAAAAAGGTGTTGAGGAATGCTGAAGGTTGTATGGTAGCTGTTGATTCGGTTTTTTATGGGGAAGGCTCTAAAATGCAGACTGAGTGTAAGGCTTTGTTTGATGGCCTGAATTTGTGCTGCAGTATGGGCTAGGGGATTACCCTTTACTGATTGAATTTGATTATCAGATTCTGGTGATGATGGTTCATGGGAAGGCTGCGATTCCATGGAAATGTGGAAGGGTTTTAAGAGATAGAGTTACTACAATCACTACAGTTCTCTTTCTCTGGTGCAGTGAGGATACACATTTGGTGGATAGCTTGGAAATTCCGAGCTAATGGTTTGATTAAGCTTAATGTGAATGGTGCTTCAAAAGGGAATCCTGGGGAGTCAGGAGGAGGGGCTATTCTTCGGAATTCTATGGGTCAATTGATACTGGCAAGTTCCTTTTATTATGGTAGTTGCGCAAATATGGAGGTAGAGATGCAGACTTTGTTGAGTGGTTTGCAATTATTGCAAGAATATGGTCTTCAAATCTATGAGTTGATAATTGAGACAGACTCAAAAATGTTAGTTGACATGGTCAATAAGAGGATTAAGGTGCCTTGGAAGTGCTGGATTCTTTTAGAACATATTTTTTCTGCCCTTCAAAATTTCACATTTCAAATTCAACATAGTTATTGTGAAAGCAACATGGTGGCTGATGCTTTGGCAAACAAGGGGGTAACAGATAAACAATCTTTCACTTATGACTCTTTAGACAGTCTTCCTACACAAATTAGGCTACTTATGATGCAGGATTCAAGACAAATTATAAATCTAAGGAAAAGAATATTCTCTGGAAGATACTTAACTTTCAATCTCCGTTGATGGTTCTTCATCTTTTGCAGAAAAGATTGGACGATTCTTTTTGGATTTCACTTTGGGATCCCTCTCATCCTTCGGTAACATTGCTGGATTCTTCTGCATCGACATGCCTATTTCAATGAAGACCTGCTAGATACTAGTTTGGCTTTCAGGGTTCCTCATTGTTCTATGGCTATTCCTCTATAACCCAGCTGGATACTTCTATCTTGGAAGTTTTCGTCTCCGTGGTGGTCTTTGCTGGCTATTCATCTTCTATCCACGGTACCACCATAGACTCGCATGAAACTTTCTTCATGGTACTGTTCATAATATTGTTCATGATACTGTTCACTGCATTATTCACGCTGCAAAGCCATTTTATGAACCATCCGGAGAGGCAAAATAAAGCAAACAAGCAAATAATTTTGATCCAAATCTCTGTGAATTCCATGCACTTGGACATCAAAGCAAGGATTCTATGAAATATTTTCAACAACAATGTACAGAAAAATTGTATTCTGGAAGTTCTGAGACCTCCACTGTTAATGAATTCAAGCTAAGCAACCAGACTTTAACGTTTGATCAACCACGGTCGAGACCAAGGTGAAAAGGTCTAGAAAAACATGTGAAGGAAATGAAGAACAGGGAATAGAATACTTATGGTGAAAGCAAGACAAAGCCTGAAGATGCTGCCAAGGCTGGGAAAAAGGAATGAATACTTGGGGCTTGCGTTGCCAGGACCCAAAATGCAAGGAATGGAGACAAAAAATCAATATGCATGATTGCTGACCTATTCTACGATCGACAATGCACACGAGTTGACAAGTACAAAGCACCCAAGGTGTTCAACATCCTTTTGAAGACACAAACAAAGATATTCTCCATGTAAAGTCCACACCATCTTAGTTGAGTTATTTGAATGCTTTATTGATTATTAAAGTCAAAAAAAAAATTAAAATTTTTTGCTTATGATCCAGTGGAAGGGGAGTGGAAATTCAGAGTTCAGCACTTCAGTTGATACCACTTCAGAGATGAGAATGAATATGAAACAGTTTTTGACAATGCATTTTTTTTTTTGTGCTGATTGTTGGCTTAAAGAAGATAAGTAGTTCGATGGCAGAAGAATCTAGGATTGTGTATCCATGACTGCGTTGATGTCGAGGTCTATGTGATGGCTTTGCCAAATTTGCGTTGTCTATAATTTTTTTTTTTTTTTGGAGTTCGAGTCTCTCCAAACTTGGTGATATTTTTTTTGGTATCATTATATGTGTAGTATATGTTTGTATATGTGCATGCAATGTTATTAACAATTGTGACACAAATAAGTGTTTTCACATCCAAATATGTTTTTCATAAAATATATTTATTTAAGTAATTTAAATATTGAATATCCAAATAATACTTATTTAATAAAAGTGTTTTTCTTATAAACATTTTTAATAAACATTTATTAAAAAAGTACTTTTTGAATTTCATAAGTAATTCTAAACGCACCCATAATCTTTTTAAATGTAGATTATTAATGTTGAGATTAAGATATTCATGAAATAATTTTTTATAATTTAATTTTTAAAAATTATTAAAATTTGAACTTAAAATACATGAATTTATATTAACGTGGTGTATCGGTTTTATCGCCATGTCCAAAATTGCTTGTTTTTTATATAAGTTAATAATTTACTATGATGCCACACAAAACCCCCCACCGAAATCGTTTACAACAGCTATCCTGACCGTTGATTTTTCACACGCATCTCGAAGCCGATCCTTCTACCTGATGAACACGCACGAGGCATGAGACGAGGAAGAAATTGAAGAAAAACGGAACGACACGCACTCGATCACACAAAGCTTTTCGCTATGTTCACCAAGTTCTTTCCGAAGGACACACAATCTTCTCAGGTAAAAAAATCAATATCCGTGCCTATTTAGGTTTCAAATTATCTCGATCGATATGATACTGTAGATGAATTTTCTGATAACCTTTTGTTTAATACCTTATGATTCGTTTTCATTCGTTTGGATGCTGAGAAAATGGGAGGAGGAAAAGAATAGGAAAGAAAAGAAAATGATTATAGAATCAAATGAATAATTTGAGAGTGATCATCTAGTTGCCGTACAATAGTTAAGGTGCTTTTTTGGTTTATGAGTATGGTGAGTTGGTTTTTGTATTGCTGAGCAGTCACATCGATGCATCTTTTGTCAAAATTATCTAACATCAAAAGCCAATGTGTTCATGGACCAATTGACTTTATCTAAAATGAGGAAGAAAAGTTAACGGTTATGTGAACTATTCTGGGAATAAGAAGAATTAGAAGCAAATGAACTTTACTTTCCCATATGTTCACAATGTTCATTAGGTTAAAAGATTACAGAATTACCTTAGTTAGGGTATTATTAGCATTTGAGAACTATGCTTGTTGCGTTGTGAAATCTACCTTGACGAATTTCTGCATATTTTATTAAGAATTTAGCTAAATTGTGTTAAAAATTTCTTAGCCATATTACTTTCTTCCGATTTTATGTTTCTTTAAAATTGTAAAAGCAATTATCTATCACCTTCATTTATACATGCCATCTGCTTATTTCTTTTAGCCTTTACCATTTCCTGCATTCTTGCAACTATATGCAACAGGTTGTAGCATAATATAGCTATGTGCTGGTACAATGGGAAGATTTGAGTGACATGTGTCTGTCTTGAGTTCGTTTTCTGTTTATTCAAAATGTCTTGTTTCGTTTTGTTTGTGCTTTACCCAGTCGCTGTCTCACACGGGAGTATTGTTTATTTCCCTTGTATGATTTGCTTCCCTTCATAAATTTATCAAATGACCTATTTAAGTAATACATGTTCTCTATAGATCTCCATCTTGGTAGTTTCCTAGATTAATACATTTCCTTCTACAGAGTACTAACATATCTATATGAATGCCACTGTTCAATGCAAGTGCCTCGAAGTACAAAACAAATGGAATTTTGTCTTCCTGGAATATATCTCTATATTATAGTGATATGGATAGCTTCTCACATCCTTTTCAACTTAATGCGTTGCAGGAAATTCTGACATTCTCAGACTTGGAACCACGTGTTTCTGTTCACTATGGCATTCCATCTACTGCGTCAATTCTTGCTTTTGACCCTATTCAAAATCTCTTGGCGATAGGCACACTGTGAGTTGATAATTTCTTTTGACAATTTAATTGTATCTGTTATCAATAATTCCTTAAGTTGTGTTGAGAATGATACATACATGTTTTCCTTTTTGCAATCACTCTGAAACATTTGGTTTCAAAAGACCTTATGATGCAAGATTTATAAGTATCAAGAATATCTGAGTTACAACAAATTTATTCTGCAGCATATTTGACTTTTGTGACTGTGCATGTGACTTTTTAAACTCCTGAATATGCCTTTGTTAGCCTATCCAGTCCAGTTTACATACTGTGATGCCCCGATATTTCTTTCATACATCAAATGAGATAGGTAACACTGTACTTTCTGTGTATTACCATATAATCAAACCTGGACACAAGTTGAGATGATGTCATTGCCAATGTTTGACTTTGTATATGAGGAAGGTACGATAGACCACTTTACATCAAGGAGTGGCTGTCAGAACTAGAGGATGGACGCAATGTGACAGATTACCAATTTTGAATATGATTCTACTCTCTCTATCATTTTCATAATTTTTGTACTGGTCAATTATAACTGCAGAGATGGCAGGATTAAAGTGATTGGTGGTGATAACATAGAGGGGCTTCTAATGTCTCCTAAGCCATTGCCCTTCAAAAACTTAGAGGTTTGTGAACTTTAATGCACAAAGTGATCTGTATCTTCCTCCCCCCTCCCTGACATTTTTTTCCAATTACATTTTCAATTTTATTGAGGGTGGGTCGTAGCGCATTGGTAAGGTTTCTCCACTATGATCTTGGCATAAATGGTTCGAGTCGCAAATGAGCCTGTGTACATCCGACTCTTCCTAGGGGTTGTGGGTTTTATATTTCAAGAGAGTCTGACGTGATTCGTGCATTGGCTGCTCTTTATATTTTCAATTTTATTCTTAGTCCTGCATTACTTCATTCATTGATTTATGTTTGATCTAGATTTGTTTGGTTTAATTCTCAAGATGCACCATCGACTTGGGCATGGGATTTTTTCTGCATGATGTATTACTGTTGTTTTCTTTTTCCATTTGTGCCCACACATGAAAATTTTATGCTTTTTAACATTTAACATACGTGAATGGTGTCTATCTTTTAGCTTGGTTATGATTTTTCTTGCAGCTTATATCTTTGATCAGATGTGTGGCCTTCTAAATTTACAAGTTGAATGCTCAAACAAAAACTATAGTGACAGAAAGGGATAACATGATGTAGTTTGGTTTCATATTGCTTGAAAGTTGTGCTGCACCTAGGTGATGCAAGGCCAGTAGGGGAGATGCTACACGTTTGCATAGTAACCTGAGTTGGAAAGGGGTTTTGAAAGTTGTGGGACTGCAACGTGGCCCTTTTGTGTTTTTTACAAATTATGTGGAGGGAGAGGATTTTTATCTTTTGATGGGCATCAGATAGTTGTCATTTTATCTTGTTTTGTTTGGATTAATGAGGTGCTTCTGGGTTATCTAGGTTCTTTTATGGACTTTTTTGACTAAAATTTTGGTTAGCAGCTTAGTGGTACATATCTTCTGTTGGGTGGTCCTTTTCATAATATTTCTTTGTTTTGTTTCTTTTCAGTTCCTACAAAATCAAGGATTTCTAGTCAGTGTCTCAAATGAAAACGAAATTCAGGTACTAAATTTCTGCAGGCTATGCAACTTCATCTTGTGAAACATTGGTACCCTGCACCAGGCATACATGCATCCAGTCATCTCTCCTTTTTTCCCCTTTTTTTCCCAGTATAGTGTTTGTTTGTTCTTAAGAGATCTGATGCCTTCATAATTTTGACAGATTTGGGATCTTGAAAACAGGCGTATAGCTTCCCATTTACAGTGGGAGTCCAATATAACTGCTTTCTCTGTCATCTATGGCTCCCAGTACATGTATGATAATCGAGAAATGTCATTCTAATACTAATTGAATACTGATTGGCTGAAAATGAAAATGGATGATACATTGTTTAAAGCATTGTCACTATGTTATTACATCCAGGTATGTAGGAGATGAGTATGGGTTTTTGTCTGTGTTGAAGTATAATGCTGAAGAAGGCAAAATCCTGCAGTTGCCCTATCATGTTCCTTCAAATATTATAGCTGGTAATGGTTCATTGCTTGATAGTTTTTGGATTGGAGTATTAATGTACTTGAATGTTTTGTACTCAAATTTGTCACTTATCTTTTGCTTTTATTTCCTCTGTAACCTGGAATTTTGCTTTTCTTTTCATCAAATGACCTCCATGATTGACTTTGAGAAGATTATTTATTTATAAGTAGCAAAATATTTTATTGATTTCAAATTCAATGAGGCACATAAGGGAGAAAAGAGGCAGACAAGTCCTCCAACACCGCATCAGTCGCAAATTACTAATTGATGAAGAAGAAAAAGAAACAAAGAAAAAGAAGCTTAAAGCAGCATATAATGTCCCACCATAAATTACAGAAACCTCTCCACCAGGCTATGATGCCAAGTAGGGGGAATACCTTCAAAATATTTTATAACTGAAACCCAAAAAAGACGCCAAAAAATACATGGGCTCCCATAATTTATTGACCATTTCAAATTTATCTTCAAAGATCCTTGTGTTTCTTTCCGACCAATGAGTCCAAATTGTGGCAATAACAACACAATTCCAAAGAGTAACTCCTTTCTTCTTCTTTCCAAAACCATTAAAGTCTACAACTAATGTAGAATAGATAGAACCAGAAGTAACCCAACTCAATCTTGTCACTGGGCAATGATCGACGAATAACAGATCATTGTGGAGAGGGACAAGCAAAAGGTCTTCTCCTTTGAAGGATGTCATACTAAATGATCTTTTCTTCCTTCTCCACAACCTTCCAAGAGAAAATTCATCATCATTATTTCAATCCTCCCTGCTACCTTGGCAGGAACAAAGACAAGTAGTAAATGGGTGTACTAGCAAGGACCGACTGATCATGTGGTGTGGAGGTTTCTTGATTATGTTTTATTGAAAGATGGGTTTGGTACGACTATGGTTTATGTGTGCTTAACTTTTTAGAACTTTGCTGTCATGGTTAACGGAGAACCTAAAGGTTGGTAAGTACCGCCACTATCATTTTGCTTGCTAGAGCTGACCGAAATCTGAGTATTGAAGCTTGTGAGGTTGGTAGTGATAGAAAGCAGGTTTCTCATGATCTCATCTTAATTTGCTGGTGACGCTGCACAACCTGTTTTTGAGGATTAGGAAATTCTTAATCTTAATAGCTTCCTTCGACAGCTTGAGGTAATCTCTGAGCTAAAGAGTAACATGGGAAAGAGCTCTATTGCAGGGAACAACATTCAGAGTGATCAGTTGCACAGTGATTGGCCTTGTCTATTAGCATTCCAGATCTGGTGATTGACAAAATTTTGAAGTGCTTTCACTGTCATTGATAACTTGTTTTGTCATTATTTATTTATATATTCATTTTTTGTGTGTGTGTGTGGTTTTTTTTTTTTTTTTTGGGGGGGGGGGGTTTGGATATCAGGCATTCCCATGCACTTTGTTCATTAGGCTCCTGTTTTGGTTTGGGTAATATTCCTTAGAAATAAATTGTTGTTACTTTCCAAAAGAGCAAGATCTCTTTGGCATGGGGTGATCAGAATTAGGAAATATTGATGATGCAAATCTTGTTGCTAGCCATTGTACGCTCTCATTGGAGATGGGTCTACAATCTGTTTCTGGAAGGATTGGTGAATGGCAGAAAACTCTTTCTCTGATGTTTGTAGAATTGCTTGTATGAATTGTCCTCTATTGAGATTTTAATCATTCTATTTTGATGAATTCAACTTCTAGAAACTTCTTGTATAGGAAAATCAGTGTGCTCAATTTTATTTTTATGTATTTGCTCTGCCTGGAGGAAAAAACTTGGAATTGGATAGTAGCCTTTTTCCCCCTAAATATACTTCTGTTAATTTCTAGAAATAACAGAGCCTTTTCTGTCCATTTGGCTAGATAGAGATTAAATGTCAGGATCCCACCAAAAGTTTGGGCTTTTGTATTATCAGTGGCTTGGGAGAAGGTCAATACTGATGAGGGTTCCAAGATAAAAGGTCCCCAATATAGCTCTTATGACGTATGCGTATTCTCTCTATGGAAAAACCTCTAAGGCTCTAACCATCTCTTCCCATTATTCGTGGCATATGGCAGTCTTTTGGAAATTTGTTTGGTAGACTGGGCTGAAGAAAGGATTTCTTTGGCGTTATGCTTTTCTAGCGTGTATGGGAGACTTGGAGTTATTTGGATGAGAGAAATTCTAAAAGCTTTGGGGATGATAGTTTTTTTCCTACTTCTTTTTGGGTGTCCAGATGAAAGAACTAAGGGTGGTATATGAAAGTTGTAGCGAGTTACTTGTATTTGGAGTGAGCCTTGCTTGTATATGAGAATTAATTTGGCCTCGACCTATAGACTATGCTTTGCTTGTATTTGTAGTGCAATAGAACTTCGATGCAGTGATATTTGAAATATATTAAGCAACTATGAAGGATATATTGTTACTTCTGTTTTTCAAGCTAGTGGATGTAGGTTATGCTGTCAAAATGGAGTTACTTATCTTCTTGGAGGACTTAAGAGAAGTGATCATTATGGGTTTCATCATTGTTTGACCGAAGAGGAATCTAATAGTGTCTTTAAGTGACAATATAGTGGTCCCTACTGCTATGCCATTTTGTTGGGGGAAATCCTGAAGCCATCTATTTTCTCTTCAGGCTGCGTTTTCGAGGATTCCTAGGTCAGCCAATGCAGAGGAAGATAACTTGACTTAGAGAGGGGCAACTGCTCTTGATTCATTTGGAGATCATTTTTTATCCTCACCCAATGGTGGGGGACTCTTCGTTGGTTTATATAACTGATGTAGGATGGGGAAAGTAGAAATCAAAAAATAGAAAGAATAGAAGAAGGGGAGGTTTACCTCATTCTCCTAAGGATTGGGTCAAAAAATACACAAAATTCTCCACAGAGAAATAGTTTTTTATTATACCACTCTCTAATAAAAATAGTGGGGATTACATCGATATTTATAGGCTAAGTTTCCTACCAATGTAAAAATTATTCTCCTGTTAAATCTCTATAATAATTTCCTAACCAAATTCTAACTACTACTACTACTAGTCAAACAAATGCTCATAAATCAAATAATAAAAATAAAACTACTAATTACACTCTCCTTTGGACAAAAAATAACTAGTCTTTTGCTAGGCCTCCAAGGTTGATTGTATTGGTCCAACGAACCAATGGCTGCACCATCAATAACTCTATGTTTCTCTTCTTTAGTTTATTTCCTTTAGGATGCTTCTCATCTGCCTCCATACATGTATTTACTTGTGATGGTCTTAGATAGTTAGTTCAATTGCATTAAAACATAAAATACTCATAATAGTCTCGCTATGAATGGCAAACGTTTAATACTGGTGTTAGCATTTATATTGCGAAGTTCGAGTAGATTCATGATGATGTCTGAGCTTAATTGTGATGGGTGGCTGAAGAAAATTCACAGAAACAAACACCTGTATTATGGTGCACCTATTCCATGCAAGATTAGTCAAAAAAGTCAAGCCACAGCGATGTTGGTGGATGGTTCAACAGGTCAACAACTCATATCTCCTGCACTGATATACATATGGGGAATGTACCAACTTGGAGGTCAAATTTTACTGAGTCGCAATCTTGTCAAGCACTAAAGCTGACTTCAAGGCTTTTCCCATTCTGGAACCTGGAAACATTCATTAGCAGTGGGCTAGTGACCAAATCTGCAACATAGTCTTTTAGAACGATTTGGTGTTGTACTAGGTATCCTATAGCCATAATGTACTGTCATATATACAAGTATTAGTAGCATCATTCTGTAATGCCCTGGGATGGTCTCAAATTGTAGGGGACAAATTCTTCCATCCCTCTACCCTCTTTCAACTTTTCTGTGGATCTCTGAATATTATACAACATATACTAGGATTTTACCTGTATTTTGTGAAGGCCAAAGGAGGTCTTATGGAATACCAACATGACTTCCAAATATCACTTCTTCTCATTTGCTCAACAAGGAAAGAAACATTTTTAGGAGACTAACCTAACGACCTTCAAGCTTTTTCTCTGCTGGGCGGGAGCAGGCAGTTGCATTAGGGCTAACTTGGCTATTGGACTGTTGCTTGGCTGCTGATAATGGTATCTTGCCAATTTTGTGGCCTTGCTGCTGAGTGCATTGTTTGATAAGGGTAATGACTGAGTCTGACTTGGAAAATACAATCAACAAGGCTGGGGTCTCATGATATCTCATACAGAATTCATACTAGCTATCACTTTCTTTTTTGGCAGAGTAGTTAGCCAAATGTGTTTGGTCCATGACAGCTGTGTGCATGTTAATATTGACTCTGTCCCTGATTTAGGTACGCTTTTGAATTCTGACATATGGTATTATCAGATCTTGTTTCATTCTTTTTTGCCCCCTTTGATTGTAGTAGCCACAACGCTGTACTGTTGGTCTGCCAATGAATTAAAGTAAAATGCAACCAGGCCTTCAGTCCAACACAGTATGAATGACAAAGTGAAAATATGATGACAAATATGAGTGGTGATGACAAATATGAGTAGTAGGATCACCGATAGCAGAAAGGTATCTGGACTTGGTTGTTCATAAGCCAACGTTTTTAGGGGGTAACGCATAGAAATCAGAGTAGAACGTGAGAATGTGTCTTTTCAAAATAATCTCAGGAGCTGACTTGTTCATTGTTTCTACTTGCTTGATATTGATCTTCTCTCTTTCTTCTCTTAACACGAGCCATTATGCTTTATATAATAAAATTTCCCTTTTTGCTTTGCAGAAGCAGCTGGGATTTCATTGCCCAGTCATCAATCTGTTGTTGGCGTGCTCCCCCAACCCTGCTCTTTTGGGAATAGGCAAGACAAGATAACTTGAAATTTTCTCTTCAGTCTATGGGTTTTGAATTCTTACACACTGAGATAAGTTTTATGATTTTGATTTAGTCAGTGTATGACACTCTGCATCTGGAAGCATATCAATTTTGAAATATGTATATAGAAGTAAACATTGGCTGTGTCTCTACGACTTTTGTACAATTCATCACTGCCATACTCAACCAGATACTAAACGCACATTCGGGAATCATACTTAAAGAGAGTACATGATACGCTAGAAGTTTTCCTTATTTGTTCCTAACAGAGCCAGCACAACAGCATGTAAAGGGCAGGAAGATCTAGGTTTCCATTTCCGAAGGAATTACACCCTCATATATGATTGCCTAATACTTTAGGCAATTGCACCTAAAGAAAACACATCACAGTGATACACTACAAATTTTCCTTATTTGTTCATAACAAAGCCAGTACAACTATTATTAAAAGCTAGAGTTTGGATGCACTGGTGTCTGGTAAATTTGGTGAGCAAGTATTTTTGGTCTCTAAGTTTGTTTAGAAGATTCAGATTGGACTTCCTGTGGCAGCTCACTCTACATCCCACGGCTGCTAAAATGTTGGCATTCCAGGATACCTTTTTGTTCCTAAGTCGTTTAGGTCTTTCTTTATAACTTTTCACTTTCAATTTGTCTGTAGGGTGCTGATTGCATATGAAATTGGCTTGATTATTCTTTGGGACGTTATGGAAGATAGGGTTGTTCTAGTGAGAGGCTATAAAGATCTCCAATTGAAGGACAAATCAGTGGTTGATTCTCTTAATGATTTAAGCCACGAGCATGCAACTGATTCATTGGATCATGATGTAGAAGAAAAGGAGATAAGCTCTCTCTGTTGGGTATCTCCTGATGGGTCAATTCTTGCTGTTGGTTATGTAGATGGAGACATTTTATTATGGAACTTATCAACTGAAGTATCTGTTAAAGATCCGCAAGCTCAAAAGTCAGACAATAATGATATTGTGAAGCTACAATTGTCATCGAGCAGCAGAAGACTTCCGGTCATTGTGCTTCACTGGTTTGCAAACAGAGCACACAATGATCGTGGGGGCCAACTTTTTATTTATGGGGGTGATGAAATTGGATCTGAAGAAGTCCTCACGGTATGTTTTATACCAGAATCAGCTATCATTAAATTTCTGTCTTTGTAATTTCCCTGAAGGGCTGCATGTAAGGTTGCATACGGCCTGTTTCAACTCACTTGATCTCTGTTTCTGAAAGCTTGTTTTCAATTTTCTACTTTGTGCATGTAGTATAAGAAGCACGGATACGGACAAGGACACAACATGGACACGTTGAGTACACTCTATAGATAATTATATTTTATATATAAAATTATATAATTTATCACAAATATAGTGATAATGATTTATTATTTTAAAAAAATTCAGTACATTATGATAGTAAATGTTATGTTTAGTCATCTACTGTGAATTTTTAGCCTAACAACATCATAGTTAATAGTCATCAATTTTTTCGTAGACGTATACCAAATATATATAACTTAAATGATTGCTTTTATTTTCTCAATTGTTCTTTCTAAATTTTTTTTGTATCTTTTGCTTTGTTAGCCACATGTCTAACATAAATTTATATATAGTAGTAGACATGGTCTAAAGAAGTGTTGGACACGTTCGAAATTAAATTTTATCATTTAATTATGGATGTGAGTGTCGGACACGTGCCCGAGAGTGTCGTAAGAGTATCAGTGTTTGACATGGATGCATCAAAGCGTTCGTGCTTCATAGCATGTGGTCATCACCCTTACAGAGAAAAAGGACACTTGAGCTATCTTATCTCCTGTGAGGATGAAAATTTCTTGGATTGCTTCTAACTTCATGTGACATAGACACTCACATTAAAGATTCCTGAGATGGAGAAATTGTGGGGACAATGGAGGACAATAAAGGAACAAGATTCATGTAGCCAACCCTGAATAGTTGGAATATAGCTTTGTTGAGTTGAGATGGATAAACTGCAGGGAAGGCTTTCACCAGAGTCCCTAACCAGAATTAGCTTCAGTATCCAGAATTTTGATTTGCAAATTTCTTTTTAAACTTTTGCGGCTGGATTCTAGCCCATGGCCAATTGAGTGAAATATTCCCACATAGATGGAGTGTTCATGCGCCACACAGGATATATAGCGATACTATTGAAGAAAATGTATTGTAGGATATTTGTTAAAAAGAATGAAAACTGTCCTAGTAATATAGACTGACTTTGTAAATAGGCTGATAGTGGTCTAATACATGGGGAAATCTGCAGGAAAGGGTTTTGCTCCAAAGACTATTCAGATGAAATCCCGTGCAATAAGAAAAATGTTTATGGTTATATGGGTCAAAGAAGTCATGGGAATGCGAAGTTCTTTCACAAGGTTACAAATAGAATAAGGAAGAAAAATCAACTTGTTTTCAGAGAGTGCACAATTATGGCCTCCTCCCGCTGATCAATAAGAGTAGCTAAGGAAGTGTCTTCAATGAGATCTCTAGGCTAATTCAGGAGAAATGGAGGAGTTGATTTTCATCAACTTGAAAAATACGAATAAAAATAAAAAAGGACACAAGAAGTAAGTGTAATTGAATGTCACATGTCTTTCCAAGTCATCCTACTAATTGAAGAAAATGACTCTTAACCCTCCTGAAGCTTTGATGTTCCAGAATAAGTAGGATTGCTTGTAATGATGGGGATTTAGGGCCTTTACCCATGGCTGATGCCGCTGAACCCACAAACACTTGCTGAGTTCGAATACTTTTTATTTTGAATATCCTTTTAAAATTAATATTGGCTGAAAAAAAAACATTTTAAAGGCATAAACTTGTAACATAGATATGTGAAAGCAG